TTGGTTATGATATCTTTCTTCCCATGATTAAATTCAACGACATAGTTGCTGATTGCATAGACCTCCCCTTCGTTCAGTACACCTCGAAATGCTCTCATATTTGTAGAACGTATTATTCCTTTAATAAATGCACCCTACAAAATAAATTTATAAATCTATTAATTAAAATAATTTTTCAAATTATATAAATTTGATATTACAAATGAAAATATTTACCTGTTCATCATGAAACAGTATATGGAATGCGTTCCAGCTCTCTCGTTCGTGATGCATTTCAATTATTCTGACTGCTCTCAAGCGCAAATAAGGCTTGTTTGTCCTACTCACAGAATCGAGTGTATCCCAGATTGGCGGCATTATAGTATCGATGTGTTATGAAATTTACACTACAAAAAAACACTACAATTCCAACGCAAAAATTTCCGTTAGAAATTCCAATGAATATTCCAACAAACTTAATTTTATGTTGGAATAAGTGTTGGATAGTTGAGGAATTCCAATGGATTTTTTCTGTTGGAATAGCTGTAGAAATTTATTTTTATAGGATTTTCCGTTGGATATTTGCTATTCCAACGGCAGTTTTTCCAACGGATTTTTAAACGTAGGAATATCCTTTAGAATAGCTATTCCAACGGAAATGTAAAAAATTCCAACAGAAAATTTTCGTTCGAATGTAAAAGTTTTTTTGTAGTGTTATCTCTCTATTTTTTTTCCTGAACGTTGTGAATGTGAAATAATGGTGATAGTGAATGTACTTTTATACAACTTTAATTGTGTATAGATCTATCTTATATTTCCTGTTTTTTAGGGACTTAATGCCGCTTTTTAAAAATAAATCCATATAGATACATCCATATTTTTTGCCAATTTATTCACACGTCAAATTTATTCCTTTTTTTAGGGAATCAAAGACCATACAATATGCGTAGAATACTGTGTGATAATCAACTGATTTAAATAATAATTTTGTTTCCTTTACCTAAAGATATCAAAGTATTAAATAAAAAAATAGGAGATTTATTTGGATTTACATCCTTATTTTCATTCCATATCATAATTAATGAAATCGGAAAATGTAGATATAATTAGGCAATAATTAATGAAAGTTTGTTAAGTTACTATTTTTAGGCAATAATTAATGAATTTGGCGGGAAAAGATTTCTAAAAATGAATTATGTTAATCTTTATTATATATTAATAGATGGCACCATAGAATTTCTGGAATAATAATCATATTTGCGAAAATATTTAAAAAAAACATTTTTATTGAGAAAAAAAATATATGGTATGTAACTTGGATTTTAATATGAAAAAACGGTAATTAATATTTGATTTTATATGAAAATTTTATAAATTGTATAAATTTCTTTGAACATTATACAATTTTAAAAGAATACTTTATTTATTTTTTTGGTAGGATATTGACTTCCCTCGAACATAAACATGGATTTCATATTAGTTGTTTTATTTATGGACTAAATCTTGTTTCATATTAAAATTACAATATACAACTCAAATTTATTTGAAAGGAAAATACAATCAGCCTCTTGAAAG